TCAGTTCTCAGTAAATGCTAACGGCTGCCATCATTCCCTGATCACTGAAGTCCATAATGTTTATTCTCTTCACACTACGCCTCTGAACTTCAGACGAGGGAGTGGCTTCAGCACCATTCCTCCTAAAGTCCTAGCTGTAACCTTTTCTTGTTGTTATAGGACACACATGCGCACGCGTGTGCGCGCTCTCTCTCTCACACACACACACACACACACAGTCTGCACTAAATTGCAGAAGGGTAGGATCCTGTTGAATACTTTTTTGTGTTCTCAACAAAGCATACTTTACAGACTAAATAACAGCCACCTCTACACAGTAAGACTTTTTTTTTTTAATCTGTTACTGAGTTCACTTTGAAAAATAAATAACTTGAAGGGGAAAAGCTATTTGTCTGTATGTAAATTGCTTATCTATATATGTATTCATTTACTCAGCGTATTTATTGAGCACCTACTACCTCTGCCTCGTCCTCTTCCCCTTTGGTAACCACCATACTGTTTTCTCCTTCAATGAGTTTTTGTTTGTTCTGATCATTCCTTTGTTGCTTTCTGTGTATAACCCACAGATGAGCTAAATAATATGATTCTTGGCCTTTTATGACACAAAAGAAATACTGCCATCTGTGACAACATGGATGCATCTTGAGAGTGTGTATCATGCTGAGCAGTAGGTCAGACAGAATAAGCAAAGTTCTAATAGTCACTAAAAGTAAGATCTTCTTCACATTAGGAAGATGGCAGGAGGTTTCATCTTGAGTTTGGTTCAAACTCTGCCAGTCGCTGCTGCAACAAGTTGAAGCATGTCATCTAGACTCTCTAAGCTTGGCTTCTTCACCTGCAGAGGGGGCTGCTAATGCTGTATTAGAGTCATAAGGATTACATGTGACATATTATATAAATGTCTTTATGTGACATATAGTTTCACTAAATTATAGCTTAATTTTTATTTTTATTGATTTTACAGAGAAAGGTAGAGGGAGAGAGAGATAGAAACATCAATGATGAGAGAGAATCATTGATCAACTGCCTCCTGCACGCCTCACACTAGGGACAGAACTGGCAACCTGGGCATGTGCCCTTGACCGGAATCGAACCTAGGACCCTTCAGTCTGCAGGCCGACGCTCTATCCACTGAGCCAAACCAGCTAAGGCTACAGCCCATTTCTAAAGGAGCAGGCAGAGGACTCACGGGTTCCTTCAGTGCAGAATAATAGTGGTAAACTTCACATGTGCTCCTGCAGTGAGATTACTGGCACTGAGGCTGTTTGTAATGGGCTAATATGACTTAGGAATGTTAATTCTTGAGTTAGTCAGAAGCCAAACATGTGTTCGTGTTCAAAATTTACCAGCCTTGACGTGCTGGATTGAGGAAAGCCTAGCTCATTAAAAGGATATTATTGGGTATCTACTTTCTTTAATTTTGTGAAGAGGCAGTTCTAAAACCAAGACCTCTGAATGTTTACTTTGTCACAATAGGATTTTCTGTACCCATAGAATTGCAAGATAATTTTGTTTTTACAACCATTCATTCTTAAAATGCTATTTAAGATGATCATTGATGTTTGAGGGGAAGTGCAGAAGAACTATTAATTAGCAAATGTAGAGGACGAGGCTGGAAGGATGTGTTGTTGTTGTTGAATTCTGCATTTATTCATAGAGTACCACCAGTGACAATTACATTAATTACAGCTTGCACATGCCTTTAATTCAGAATGGAAGGAAGGGCTTGGTATATTTTGTTTGGGTGGCAAAGAAATTTGGTGATTCAAGTGAAAATCCAAATTTAGTTTATAAAGGTTTATTTTGTTGAGATTTAAAAATTCTTAACCTTTTATATCAACATTATGGTAAAAGGGCGCATAGAAATGTGTGTGGGTTTTTTCAGAGGAGTTTGGAGGAGACACATTTCCATGTGCCCTACATCAACGGACATCCTGCTTACAGAAATGCTGGGCAGTCCTTTGAGTGACACCCCAAACTAATATTGAGACCTTGTTTTTGGCTTCCTTGCTACCAGAGAATTAAGGAAAAATCTACCAAAATCATGTCTTAAACTCTGACTGCCTTGGTGTGGGAAGTAGGAATTTCTGTCCTTGGAGTAGGTTCTGAGACCTCGGCCTAAAACTCTTGCCAGAACAGCAAGGCCCACACCTACCTGTCTCCTAAGAGTTTCCTCCTTGGCTTGCATCTCCCTGTTCTCCATCCGTAGACTAAAGGGCCAGAGGGCAGTTAGAAATGACACAGAGAGAACCTGGAGAAGATCCCTGAGCAACGCTGAAAGGCAGTAATGGAAAAGAGCACACTGTGCTTCAGACAACAGGCTTTGGTGGGAAAGAAAATGTAGGTGCCCGGCCGGCGTGGCTCAGTGGTTAAGCATCGGCCTATGAACCAGAAGGACACAGTTCGATTCCCAGTCAGGGCACATGCCCGGATTGTGGGCTTGATCCCCAGTGTGGGGTGTGCAGGAGGCAGCCAATCAATGGTTCTCTCTCGTCATTGATGTTTTTCTCTCTCTCTCTCTCTCTCTCTCTCTCTCTCTCTCTCCCTCTCCCTCTCCCTCTCCCTCTCCCTTCCTCTCTGACATCAATAAAAGTATATTTGAAAAATAAAAAGAAAACGTAGGGTGTATTAGATTTTTAATCAAAAATTAAGGGTTGATGGGGGAGAGTGTCAAAATATTGGCCCATCCCACCCAACTGTCATTCCTCATATTTGACCTCTTCCCTCTTTAAAAAAGTTGCCAAAGTTCATTGCCACCCGTAGTGAATGAGGTGGGGCCACTTGGGCATGACATTCAGAGTCAGACGACCCAGAGGAGGCTCAGCAGGACCAAGCACTGCTGCACTGGGACTGGCTGGTCCGACTTGGAAGCACATCCTGTGTCTTTCCAGATGATTTCCACAGTCCTGCTCATTCTTTCGACATCCCTTCATTCATATTCACACTGTCTTTTGCTTTATGGCGTGAATTTACGGATTCAAAGTTCCTATCACAAAGGTATACAGTTAGCATAATGCCACTCCAGGCTCATCTCGGATTGTTTATTCTGAGTAATTAAGCAACTTGAAAATGCCTGTGGAACCCTAACTGGTTTGGCTCAGTGGATAGAGCGTCGGCCTGGGGACTCAAGAGTCCCAGGTTCGATTCTGGTCAAGGGCATGTACCTTGGCTGCAGGCACATCCCCAGTGAGGGGCGTGCAGGAGGCAGCTGATCGATGTTTCTCTCTCATTGATGTTTCTAGTTCTCTATCCCTCTCCCTTCCTCTCTGTAAAAAATCAATAAAATATTTTATTTAAAAAAAAAAAAGAAAACGCCTGTGGAATGTGCAGTCACTGTTGGTAAATGTACGGCTTTATTTTATGGAGAAAATAGTCTATGAAAACCGCATTCTTTTTACATTTACTAAAAGCAGAAATGTCATCGGCAGTAGTGATGCACTCACTGAGTTAATTTCCGTTCTCCTTCTCTTGCTCTGAAGGAAGCCATTAGGACTTGCTTCCCTCTCCGTTTCAGCGGGAGCTGGTCAAACCACTTTTCTGTTGTTTACAGGGGCTCTTAGCGTTGCTTTCTAAAGCGAGATTGGAAAGGCTGCCTCTTGCATATTTGTACCTACCATGTTAATGACACCAAAGTCCTTTGGTTTTCTCACAAAGACGTCATCTGAAATACACATTTCCTGTAAAAAGAACAAATTGCTAACATCGATTTTGTTGTTGTTGAGATAATGGATTCTGTGGGCCCGCGTTCAGGAAAGCCCCGTAGAGGACTGTAATGAGTTGTTTGGCCCTAAAAGCCTTGAGTTATAAAAAGAACTGATAGAATCTGTAATATGTATGCCTAGCACATTATCGGGCTGGAACGGGAGCTCATATCAGTGTGTTATGCCATCGATCAGCTAAATGACATGACAAGCTTGCAGTCCTCACTCACAGTGACCTGATGCCAGCAGCCGCTGACCTCTGCAGTGTTAGGCCCACAATGCCCACCTATGCCATCACCCACGGCTGCCCAGGCAGGCGGCTGGCAGACATCAGATCACTCTGTGAACCAGCCTGCTGCGTAGGGGACCTTGACAAGGCCTCCTGCTTCCCGGCCTGGCTCCACCAAGGATCCTTCCTCATCCTCCCTGAACTTCAGAGCCTTGTCACTCCTAAATGGCGAAGGTTTTGGTTTTTGTCTTTGTTCCCAAGTAAGGGGTGGGGTGGAGGCAGGAGAGAGGAATCCCAAGTGCAAACCAGAGGAAACAGGGAACGGGGCTGGTGGGGATACTAGACAGCAGCCTTTTTTGAAGGGTCAAATAGTAACTATTTTAGACTTTGGGGTCTGTTGCAACTACTCAGTTCTGCCATGGTGGCCCAGAAGCAGCTGTAGGTGAACGGGCTGTGTCCCAATTGACTTTCATTGCATTCAAATAGGCGGAGGGCCTTTGGCCGACTGGCCATGGTTTGCCATCCTGTGCACACTACCAAGTAACAAACCCCGAGTAGCTGGCCCTGAGGGAGTCTGGAAGAGAATCTTTGGAATACACTGAGCATCGAGCATTCCTTAGCAAATGCGTCATTTCCCAGAGGAACGGAGGGCAGCACTCATTGTGATGTTGAAAGTGGGTATCGAATACATCTTAGGTCTCATGTGTTTATTTCTTGGAAATTACCGACGAACGAAGAAAGCAGTGGTAGATTCTCAGCCTCTGTTATAAAGCAAAACCCAGCACCAATGACTAAGCAACGAGGGCTCGTGAGTGACCATTTTCCAGGGTACTGAGCAGGCGGGGGGAGCTCCGAGGCCAGGTGAAGGGGCCTGGGCTGGCCTCAGCCCGCTGCCCCTGTGCTGCCTGGCCCTGAGCCAGTTCGCAGCTTCAGAGAAGCCGAGTCAGACGTGCTTGGCCGTCATCGGCGTAGAACCGGACATATTCTGTTCGATTTTGACGATGAACTGTGATTTTAAATCCATAATGGAAATTTAAATGCCCATTGAATTGAATCAGCCTTGTTACCGTCACATGTAAAATGCCATGGATGTTTCCCACCCGGATTTAACAAGTGGTTCTTGTCTCCCCTGCCAGGTTGTTCCTGCTGCGGGACTGGTCTCCATATTAAAGAAGAGGAACGACGCCGTGGGCGACCACCCTGCCCAGATGCAGCAGAAGCCGCCCAAGCGGAGGGTGCGGTTCCAGGAGATAGACGATAACCTGGACCAGGGTGGGTACCGCTCAGCCCTGAGCCTGACACGGGGGCCCTCCCAGTGTTTGCCGAGAGTGAGTCAGTGCCCGATGGAAGGTGACGGGATTTGTAAAAGGAAATGTGGGCGCGGTTGTTTTATCTTCTAGAACAGCAGTTCTCAACCTGTGGGTCGAGACCCCTTTGGCGGTCGAACGACCCTTTCACAGGGGTCGCCTAAGACCATCCTGCATATCAGATATTTACATGACGATTCATAACAGTAGCAACATGACAGTGATGAAGTAGCAATGAAAATAATGTTATGGTTGGGTCACCACATGAGGAACTGTATTTAAGGGCCAGAAGGTTGAGAAACACTGTAGAAAGAAGCAGAGAACTGAGCTGTCATCGGTTCTTAAACGATTCCGAGGCAGTGTGTTTGCTCAAATCAGTGAACAGGTTGCAAAATTCAACTCCTGGCCTCCCGACCCCCCAGGCAGTGCTCGGTGTTCAGAGCTCATTTCCATTTCCTTGTTTGGGGTTTCGTTGGGTTTTAGTGAGTCTGCTATTTCTGTCCGCTTTTCAGCAGCAGTTACTTGTCCTATCTCATGTGTGTGGGAAACGTTTCTGGATTACAAGTTTATTCTCTTCGGTGATTTCTTGACTCCATAGAAGGAAGTGTCTCTTAAGGGCAGCAGTTTAACACTGTGCTATTGTTGGACTTTCCTCCTGGGCCACTAGTGACTAGGTAGTTGCTAGGGTTCCCTAAGGCAAATAAGAGTGAGTGGAAAGATAGCCAAAAACCTGTGTATATGCTTCTCCTGTTTATAAAATAACAGTGTGAGCGTGTAGATATACTTGCTAAGTATGGCATAAAGTGATGGAGGTTTCTAGATTTCTACAATTAGGAGCCTTGGAAATAATCTGTTCCCACCCCTCCTTTTAGCTCTGCACCTTGCTCGTAACTCTCACTTTCTCCTCCAGATAAAATGCGTAATTCTTGTTTGCTCTCATGGGCCCTGAAATGGTCCCGCTCACCAGAGGAACCCTGGGTTCAGAGCTCACAGTCCCGTTTCACTTCGTGGCCCTCTCATCTTAGACCAGCAGCCACATGTGCCTCTACACAGTGTTTCAACACATAGATAAAGCAAATACATGTTTCTAGGTAAACTATTTATATGACTAGGAAGGAAAATATGGAAAGATACATAGATTATTAACATAGATAAGGTGATAGTAGGGATTCATGCCAAAAGAAGAAAAGATGGTAAAAATACTGACCTGACAAAACACACACACACAAGACTGATATGATCTGTATTTGTATAAAATGTATTTGCATATCTGCTATCTATATAAAACCCTAATATGCAAATCAACCAAATGGTGGAATAACCCATCACTATGACGTGCACTGACCATCAGGGGGCAGAGACTCAACACAGGAGCTGCCTCCAGCCCACAGGCCCCGACCAGCAGTGGCAGCGGGGGGGCGGGGCTGGCGAGCAGGCAGCGCCAGGCCAACCAAAGCAGGTGCCAGTGGGGGCCCCCTGGTGACCCCGCCGGTTGCCCTGCAGATCAGCCCTGATCGCCAGCCAGGCCTAGGAACCCTACCCTTGCACAAATTTCGTGCACTGGGCCTCTAGTATACATATAAACTATTAAATCTATTTAACTACTAAAATCTATTAAACTATAAATTTGTAAATCACAGAACAATATGATAACATAATCCTATTTATGTAAAAATCCTGAAACCCTCTGTGTTTGATCTGGAAGGATACACACCAAAATCACCAGTGTTTGCCTCTGGGACAGGGGTGTGATTGGGTAAGAGAGAAAGGGAGGGTCTCTTAGACTTAGGTATTTGAATTTTCACAGGAAATAATATATCCACATATGACTGTAAAGCCCTCTCAATATAATTTGCTAATGATGAGAAAACTCAGACAGTAATGAAGAGTATAAGTTCTTTTTTCATTGGTTTCCCCCGAGTATTGATTGAAGTTTCTTATTATCCTTTTGAGACACATTCCCTATATGCATCTGCAAATGTGCTATATACACTGACATGTGTGCCTTTTTTTTTTTTAACACAGGTGGGTTCATTATGTACTATTATGTCACTTAATTTATTGATCTTGGACATCTTCCTATGAAAGAACATATTAATTTACTTCATACAATTGCATAGTATTCCATTATATGAATGTTCCATACTTTAACTGCTCCATTGTAACTGAAACGATTAGGCTCTCCTCAACTTTTTGTTGTTACAAACATGCCTGTAAATATGATACAGTGTGCTGTGCGGATTTGTAGGCTAATTCCTGGAAGTGATGTGCTGGGCTAAATGACCTGAGGCAGCCTGGTCTACACCTGTTGTCCCAGCATTGTCTTCAGTTAACATTCCTTTTCACTCTCAAAAGTGTCTCAATGTAGCCCTAGCTGGTTTGGCTCAGTGGATAGAGTGTCAGCCTGTGGACTGAAGGGTCCGGGGTTTGATTCTGGTTAAGGGCACATGCTCCGGTTGTGGGCTCGATTCCCAGTAGGGGGCATGCAGGAGGCAGTCGATCAATGATACTCTCTCATCAATGATACACCGTCATGCTGATTATAAAACTTTTTAGTCCTTTCTAAATATTTTTAAATTTTCCTTTAATAATGAATGATCATGAAGATGGCCTATATTTCCTCAATATAGAAAGACTGACATGGGCATTTTCATTAAAATCCAACCTGCCAGCCTGGCCTGCGTGGCTCAGTGGTTGAGCATGGACCCAGGAACCAGGAGGTCACTGTTTGATTTCCGGTCAGTGGGGGCGTGCAGGAGGCAGCCAATCAATGATTCTCTCTCATCATTGATGTTTCTGTCTCTCTCCCCTGTCCATCTCTGAAATCAATAAAAATATTTTTTAAACTGCCCGAGTTATTAAGCAAAATACAAAGAAATCACTGTATTAGCTAGAACTTCACGATTCCACTAAACAATAAGAATGAAATTGAGTATTAAGATGCGAGAGTGATCCCACCCAAAGTCGTTTTTTATTGTTTAATGCCAAATTGACGTTGCTTTAAGGTGGTCCCATGATGCGGGCGCCAAGATACTGTAATAGTGAGGCTATCATGTGTATCTAAACGATGCTGTGAGCACAGCAAAGAAGCACTGCCTTTCGCTTTCCTTCTCTGTTCATGGGAGTGATCACATTCATGGTGCAGGGGAGCTGCTTTCACACTGAGCGTGGACAGGCTGCGGGAGCGTGGACAGGCACAGGAGCGTGTCCTGTATGGCAACTAATCAGCAGGGCCCTGTAGAGCGGAGGCGCCTGGCTTGGCGTCCGTGCCTCTGTCCGAGAGGACTATTAGGAACACCTGTCTCTTAATCGGAGAAGGCCGTGGGCGCGCGGATTTCCCGTTCGTGCCACTGAACCTCCCTCTGTTCTGTTTGCAGATGAAGCTGGGAGTGGCTCCTGCATTTTGCTGGTCTTGCTGTGCGTCGCCACGGTTCTGCTCAGCGTGGGAGGAACCGCCCTGTACTGCGCGTTCGGGGACCTGGACTCACCCGTGTGCACGGACTTCGCCGACAACGTGGACTTCTACTACACGAAGCTGCTGCGGGGCGTGGCGGAGCTGAAGCACTGGGTCCGCCTCTCCTAGCGCAGCAGCGAGGGCCCGAGGGGAACTCACTCTCTAGGCGGCTCTGATTTGGGGGGTTGTGTACCGCGCCCCGCCCCGTGAGGAGCCGTGGACGTCAGCAACTGCAGCTTCAGCAGGCGGCCCAGGGGGACCTGCGCGTCGTGGGGCAGGAATGGCCTGGCCGTCCTCCTCGCGGCCGCCTCCGCGGGCTGCTGCGCTGCGTAAAGGGGAGT